GGGCATTATGACTTGATAATAAATTCATGTCATCTAACTTTTAGATAAACATAACTAGTTTCATTGTTTTTTTGTTTTGGTTTGTTTTTTGTTCAGGTTCTCTTTTTGCTGTTCTAGCATCTCTGGAGAGTCTGTGTAATTTTTTTAGTCAGCTGATTTTTAATCCACTTTACACATGGACTGTAACTGAACTCACAGGAGAATATGTGGCAGGAATTACCTTCTTCATCAATGCTGGTCTCCTTCTCATTCCTATGGCTCTTATTTTGTAAGTAACTAAAATTTTAATAATTTAAATCATTATGATAAGAATAATTTTATCAATATGGTTGCCACTTATTGAGTTCCCTGACTTTTCCCTGACATGAGTCAAATTTCCCATACCAACTCAATTAATAACTTTGCATACCAATCCTGACAGTGGCCTCCAATTTCCACTCACAGCCATTCTGTCAACACAGAACTTCTATGTGTACCAATCCAAACCTTTTATGTTTGTGAAATGTACCAAAGAATTTAAAATGTTGGAAAAAAATGAAAATAGAGAAAACAAATAGTACATGATTTCAGTCATAATACAACATGACCTAGTATTATGAAAGGAACAGATGATTACTACATGTAATTCCAAATACCAGTAGCTATTTTGTTTGCAACAAGACATTATCCAGTATTGTAACCACACAGGTAAACAATTATCGGCAGTATCAGGAAAAACCCTTTTCAAAATTCTGAAACGAGAATACAAGTTCAGTTATGTGCAGTCATTGTGATTTCTTTCCAATTTGGACTTTTTTCCCCTCTCTTTTCATTAGGGTCATTCAGAGGAGTAAACCTTCAAAGCCAAAGGAATTTCCTCCTCTTCTTGACAATGAAAATCCAGCAAAGTCATACAGCAAGCAGGAAAGGATCTAACTTCAAGTCATCTGGTCTCAGTTGTTGAAATGGTGCATAATGCAGTATATTTTGTCTACATTTATCAGCTGAATACTTATTGATATCTGTTGAATAGCATTATCCACCCTTTTAATTACTGGGCCTTGCTATGCTAACATGAAAAACACAGATATGTATAACCAAAAACTGAACGTCAAAAGATGGTTTAACCAACTATCTTGCTGCTTTATTTGCATCACAATTGTCTGAGAACTGATTCCATTTTGTGTGTAAACACTTAGCTATTATCCTTTCAGTCTACACAATGTTAGATGTCTTTTGCTATTAGAGCAGTTTTCAATGGAGTATTTAATGTGATCCTAAAATACTTTAGTTACTCTGTGATTGGTCTTGCAAAAACTCTTGCCATCATCTTAACCAAACAGATTCAAAAGTAAACCCAACCCCAACTTGGTCACTTTTGTTTTCCAGTGCTTCAAGCAGGTTGCCTGTTTTTTACTTTGAGTTGTCATTAGTTAATGATGTTAACTTTTTGTTCTGATTGATAATTGTGATTACTTTGGTTTTGGCTTCAACTTTCACTTGAAAACTACTCTTACTGTTACATGTACATCATTAATTCATTCAAAACATGGAAGGAAGACATAATGTAATGTACTATTTGCATTAGTTACATGATGGGGCAATTGAACTGACGATTTTTAGAAAAACACAGAATGAGTCGAATATATAACAATTAGCAAAATGTTCAATACAAGTTAATTTGGCTGCAATGGCCACAAATTTTACAAAATCCAGAAAATGATATAAATTTTTCTACATGAATGTAATGCAATAAAATTTTGTAAATAGTGAGAAATTGTAGATTACAAATGGGGCAGTTTTTGCCAGCACCATTATCTGGAAAAGTCAGAAAACCATGAACCTCTAAAATGCTAAGAGAATGTTTGGTATATAATGAGGAGCAACAGTCAACTTGGTGATTGTAACTCACAAGCAGATAACAGAGAGACAAATTAGTATCTACATGCCATTACTACTCCTGTGTACTGTTTATTCTTGTCCCCCTCACATCTTTGGACTTGTTTGTCACTGTGCATTAACAAACAGAAATATTTATAGTGTTCATGGTTTTCTAGAACTTGCAGTAAAAAAGTGTACATAACTGAAATACATGTGATGCTCATTTCCAAATTCTAGATGTTGAGAGTGACTTTAGCCAATGATTTTCTTTTTTGTCAAATCAGCAGTGGTATGATTTTTATTATTTACAGTAGAGTTATCACCAGATTAGAACATCTGGTGCCAGTATCAAGGGTGCAATATTTAATTTTCACATTAATGTTTTAGACGAGAATTTCAAAAGTTGAATAAATAAAATAGCAAAGAAATAAAACAAATACTATTCAGGATTGTATGATTGTTGTTTATGAATCTTATTTTAGCAAAACAAAGTTGGCTTCTCCATGATGACTTCAAGATGGCAGCCCAGTAGTTTGCAAGCAGCCCCTCATTGTGAAATGTGTTTTAAATTTGTGTTTCTCTGCCCACAGGAAGATTTAAGATGAGTCACACTTGTCCAGAAGGGATGATAATGAGGGCCTGCCAGCACCCTATGATGGTATTAGCTAAGTCCTTATGGAACATCACATGTTTAAATCATCAAGTGGTACTAGATGCTAAAATAGAGATGCGCTCATCTGAGACTTTTAATCCTGTTTACACCATATCCAAAAAATTTTGCCTTTCCAGTTTTTAGTCCTTAGCATCTCCAATACCATCTGCATTGATAGCAAACATGGCTTCAGCCTCAGGCAAACATGGCGAGTCATATATCTTACATATTCTTGTCTCCCCTCTTCCCTTCCTGAGGTACAATCTGTAGAGGATAAGGAGCAGAATATATACTTATTACTTCCAAGCCTGCAGGAAATCCTAGTGAGCTGACATCCAAGTTTTCCTTTGATGACAATGTACCTGTTGTTGACTTCACTGGTAGCTTCCTTTAAAACATGTTTTAAAAATGCATTTAGCTACAGCTCATCATTTGTAAAACTGAATTTGCTTTCTTTTTCATCTTGTTTATGGAAATGTAATGTACTGACTCAATGTTGCTATAAATTGAGAAAGACAACATACAGAGCTTGCTTGTGTGGAAAAAGTCAAACCTTATTCAGCTTTGTCCACAGTCAAGATATGTAGTTACCTCATTCCTTCATAAACTTACATAATGTTCGCATGCATGTATGTATATGTAGTATGTAAAAAACTATGTTTACTTAATTGACCACTCCTCCAAAGGGCCTTTTCAGGGCCAATACAAATGAATGAATGAATCAACATGGTGTTTTAAAGTCACCTTTGCCTAAAAATTGTGTGACACTGAAAATCCTTGGTAAGACAAACATGAGTCAAGGGCAGTCATTTAGAAACATTGCACCTTAAAATCCTAAGATATAGCTGAGACCTTCGTAGCACCACAAGTGATGATCAATGTCAGTTTGTATAGTCTATAGTTAGTTTGAGCTGTATCATCAATGCAAACAGACCCTATTACAAAAACTTAACAACAGCCCTGATGATTTCCACCCTCGCAACTTTACTACTGAAGGTAAGTCTGTAAACAAACTACAATTGTGAAGTCAGTCGAGAAAAGTTGTCAAAGAACAGGATTTTGTTATTAGCCATTACCTTGTTGTTGATGCATGTGCCATGATGTTTCCACCTATTGGCTTTTTGGGATCTGCTTGGAACATAGAAGCACCATCCACCTGTGCTACAACTTGGTTTGTGATAACAACAGCTATACCAAACTGAATGACAATGGTATCATAATCAATTCACATAAAAAAAAAACGAGGTTTATCACTACTTGAACATTCATAGGTAAAACTACTCAAAGATGCAGTAACAGGCAGCAAGCATGGCACAGTCCAAAAAGAGAGAAGAAAAAAGTGTGATATTGCATGTACATGGTCTATACAGGGTAAAACACAAAATTAGGTAGCATATGTACCTCATCTGCAAGTTTTAGTAGTGTTCTAAGGAATCTTGCCAGGTGCATCTGCCGGGCAGACAGTTCTCCACGACCAGAGTAGTCTGTACGATACAAAGCTGTTGCACTGTCAACAATCATAAGAGCATATCTGCAATGAAGGGTGATGGAGAAAATAATTTAAGAATACTGTACATGTATTTTGAAAATTGCCAGAGTGCAGAAGAGTGACTGTCATATGCCACACAGGTCTAGAGGTAACTAATTCACTCAGGGTTTGGGTATTACTGACCATCTGACTAACGAGTCAAGAAGTCAGGCTAAGTGGCAAGGGGAAAAAAAATTACAGTTTACATTGCTTGCAGAGTTCAATAGTTGTATTTAATGCATGGTGTATTTCAGGACTACATAACTACATTTATTGATCAAGCAGTACCTTGATTCAGACATCATAGCAGATGCATGTATCAGAAGCTGAGACTGATGGTCTGAATTGTAGGCTCTCGCATAGGCCACATTATCAAGCACACTTTGTCCTGAAAGCCCATATCTACATCACAAAAACAATATGATACAAACGTTAATTCACAAGAACACATTCAGATCAAACAATTGTTTTAAAAACAATCTAGTTTATCTTATGAGATCCTAAAAAGGGGGGAGGGGGGGGGGAAGAAAGCAGGGGTGAGCTTTATCTAAAGAGAGTGAGAGGAAAAACAAAAGAAAGACTAAGGGCACAAAGGACAAAGGCTGTAGAGGAGACAAATAAATAAATAATTTATATATAATTATGTATATTAAAAAGTCTAATCAGTGCACATTAATTGTCTGGAATTATGCACAGATATAGCTATATCAAATAATTCTCTTAAGGTGGGGTAAGAACTACTGTTTGGTAAATTTTGACCAATGAAAACTTTTAGAAATGAAGGAAAATGAGCATTTTGTTAAGGATGATGAAGGCAATCAGGGTAACACTTTAAAGATTCTGTTCTTTACTATCAGAACAGAAGTTTTTCTTAGTCCTTAAAGTCAAAAGACATAGTAAACAACATAATGTAAATTAAAATGTAGGTTGCTGACCATACCTTTCAGCAACAGCTACCAGTCTTTCAGGTCGAAATGTGCCCTCTGTATCAATGTAGAGACATTTTCCTTCTGCCCCACCATGGTCGATGGGAAGCTGTAAGATAAAGTAACATTATGTTATTGGACATAAGAACTACTGATTTTCTTCTATGCATGTACACAGTGTAATCATGTTGTGGAATCCCATTATATCAAACAATTAATTTTTTTGTTATACACTTTTCAATGTACATGCATAGGACTGTACTTCCCAAAACTAGTAATTAGTTTTGGGAAGTACAGTCCCATACATGTACATTGAAAAGTGTAAAACAAAAAAAAACTGACTGTTTGATAAAATGGGATTCCACAACATGAAATATCAAATAGGGACAAATTAATATTATTAGTTGTCCCTATTTGAGGTACATGTATGACACAATTATAGAAACTTTCAGAAACATTTTAAATCTCAACCTTGTCTTGTGATGATAAGTTAAAGATTGATTACCTGACATGTTACGGCCATTGTGTGACACAGTTGTGTTTTTCCAGTACGGAATTCCCCAAACATTTCTGTGATGCTTCCAGTTTCAATACCACCTATGGATCCAAAAGGAAAGTTATGTCTTTCAAATGTAAGACTAACAAAACATAACACGATCTAAAAACAAAACGTCAATCCACTTCACTTCAATAGTACATGTCTTGACCCTTAGACGGCCTAGCTTCTAATTTATCCTCACAATATCACCTCTGAATCACACATTTAGGCCACAAGAATAAGATCAATGATCATCAACTAAAGAAGATCTTAATTATTGAACAAATTCCCCCTGTCAACTTAGGAAATACATAAAGAACAGTATGGAGAATATACATACTGATATTAGGGTGTAAAGGGTTAATCATTTAACCTCCTGATTCATATTTCACAAACAATACCATACAAATTTTAAACTAAAGGCAATTAACCTTTTGGTCAAAAATCTATTTAGGCCTTATTTCCTGCTATTCAAAAAAAATGTAAAATTTCACACAAATGAGCCATCAATCAATATTAAACTAGAGAAAATATATAAGCACTTGACAAAAGTTTCAAACCAACCTTGCATAAGTTTGTCTAACTCTTTTGACCCTGTAGTAATCATCACTAATTCTGATCTTCTCTGGTGAAATTCTGTGGCAGTAGTGAATCCCATTGGCACCAGCTTAGAGGCTTCATTGAGAAGTTTGTCAGCTTTAGCCTCACTGATTCCTTTAATACCAAGTAGAGCTTTTTTCGGTGTGTAGGCCACTGCTTCAATGGTGTGATATCCAGCTTCTTGCAGCTTTTTTACATCATTGGCACTAATTCCATGCTCCTTATGAAGGAAAAATGCCATTTATGACTAGTCATCATTCAATATCATCACATCAACATAATTTTTCATAAGCTGTACATGTAAGCTTACAAAATAACCCAGATATCACACACACTCATGCTGTTCAAATACAATCATTTATCATGTTGAAAAGTGAAAATTAGAAAAAAAACAGTTTGCAGAAACATTTCCATGTAACCCCATACTATTCTGAAACAAAGTCCTAGAAGCCTTGGATTCTGAAGCAGTCCATCGTTTTCTTTATCGTTTTTTTCATCCAAGAACTGTGTACACGATTAAGTAAAAAAAGATTAAATTCGAGCATAGTCTTCGAGGACAATCACAAGGAAGTCTTATAAAATTAATAACTTCACATCTTCATAAAGCGAGCAATTCTATCATCATGGCGGCGTTCCGGTATGGTAGCTAGATTTATTAATTTATTACAAAGTCACTTTCCTGAAGACTCTCGATTCCATATAGATAAATTTCAAACAATCTGTTATAGCAATGATAAAAATGAATTCGGCAGCATTCAAGGGAGATTCCAACGAAAATCGGTCCTCTGGAGTGTACTGAAACTGCTAGCGTTAACTTAGCGTTGAGCCAATCGAAATTTGCAAGAGGTACGCCTCATTACCCGTGGCAAGTTTGATACGTTTTGGCTTAAAAAGAAATAGAAATTTCAGATTTACGCGGGAAATGCCAGAAATATACCCTTGAGAATAATCTTATCTGTAATGACGAACTACAACGCCATATTATATTTGCCTCAGTACCTCGAGTTTGTTGATAAGCAAAGGTCCCGCGTTTTCTTCCATGACGTCGTCATGTTCAGTTTCTTCTTGCCTTTCCCGTTGCATTACTTCCGAAAAAAACTTCAAAATAACCAGCCGATAGACACTTAAATGCTGAAAAGGGCAATATAAAGCCTTATCCTTGTCTTCAAACAGGTAAAAAGCTCAACTCTTCGCCAGAATTGCCGCTAAAGTTTTTGAATCAGAGCGGGAACCGCTGATACGTCATGTAATTATGAATAAGATGTTCTCGTGCTGACTCACGTGACATTAATCTAAGATACAATAGAACAGACAAATGTAATTACATTTGACTTTTTCTTTAGGATTCAAGCTTTCAACTAGCTAGACACCACCATACAGCATGTGAACTTGCAAAATGATAATAATGATTTTTTTCCCTAAAATTAAAATGGGGAAATCAACAGAGATCGAAGTGTTAAAAATAAAGTGGGGCCACTTTTGGTGACGTAGCTAAATGCGAGGTTGCTAAGGATTACAGAATCGGCGAAAGTTGTTGGAAAAATAGAGTTCAACAAGTGATGTATTTTTTGTCGCCTCGCCCGGTTACCGGTTACCGAAAGGATGAAACATGGGTTGACGTAACGGACAGGGAGTACACATCGTCAAAATCGAAAAAGACCAATGAATCAGATCAATGCAAAGAGATCATCGAGGTATGATTTATTAAAATACAAGGGGCGAATTGGTTTCCAGTCGTCTAATTATGTTACGACTAGTGGAGCCCAATGAAGCTAAACCATGGCAGAGCTGTGCAATTTGTAGCGACAAGAAATTTTTCAGGACACCAAGAGAATTTAGTTCTCATCTGAGACAGTTGCACTGCACAAAAGAAGGAGGATCGTTTGTTTGCCATTACGGTAAAAATGGCGTTTGCCCTTCCTTACCTGTTGAAGGTGTCAGCGACAAAGATTACGAGGATCATGTAAGGAAGAATCACACAAAACTGGAGGAGGGTAAGTGTATAGTTAACAGTTTAAATATTCTGATCGTTAAGAATAATTCCCCTTGTGTTATTTTCTTGACATCATTAATTGCATCTAGTTCTCTGATTCCTCGTTAATTTTGAAATATATGAAAACATACACGGCTTACACGAATTCTGTTTTAATATGATGACTGGACTCCGAGTAACATAAGGCAGTGTAGAAGAGTTTGCATCTTGCCATTTATTCGTGCGCGTTTTATGAATTAAAACTCAAGTAGACTGCATTAAACTCACACAAAAAGTCGAAGTCTTAAAAAATTGGTAGCAAATATATGTACATTGATGTACATGCACTACTAAATTAAGGCACCAGAATCAATGTTACACCGAATATATTTAAGATATATTTTATCCAAATTTTTTTTAACCATTAACTTCCATGATTATCAAAGACAGAATTTCTCAGTACAATTTCAAAAAATTATCAAGCAGACAATTTATGAGAATGAAAAAAAATATCAGTTACATGTTGGGGATCTTTAGCTGATCTAATACTAAATTCTACCAACTGAGATCATAAGAAATGCAGGGTAGATGGTAAAGAGAATTGCTTATGAGGTCTTGGGAGTGAAAAGGGTTCAACCTCTATTTGGAGGATAGAGAGTTTTTTTTATATTTCCTTTCACTTTTATCTTTTGTTTTATCTTAGGTTAATTCATGATACAGGAAGTATTATAGTATTTATTGTTTCTGAAAAAAAAATTTTTTTGTTAATATCAACTTTTCTTTTCATTATAAGTTCTATAATTTGTTAACTGTGTTCATGTAAGTTACAATGTCTTTGAGTAAGGCTACTTTTCTATTTAACAAAAATGCTCTATGTTGCCATGCTGTTGCCATCTGTTCAGGAATAGATCACAGATGATGTGGAAAAAAAAATGATCAGCATAAGAGGTACAGCTGACTCTGTGTGTCTCAAAGGTTCTTGCCATCATTATATGTCTTCTGTGATCGAATTCTTTACAGGGACCCACAGCAACATGAAATCTATTTGTTTATATGATTAAAAAAGCAAAATGCTAGTGATAGCAATGTCATCTATTTATGTCTGTTCTCCAAAAG